CAGAACCTCGTCTGGGAATCGGTTCTGGATGGGCTGGTGCGGTTTCGCGAAGCATCTGTAATATACCAACAAATTATACAGCCCTTGCAGGGGAGAGGAGAGAAGAAGAAGAACTGGCGAGCAGGAGGGACGTGAGAGAGAGCCGATGTTAGATTGCTTACCAAAGCTTACGACAGGCGGGGGAAGAGGAGGGCGGAGGGGAGGAAGAGGACGACGACGACGAAGAAGGAAGAGGAGGAGGGGGGGGGAGCAGGGACGGAGAGAGCTGAGGAGTAGAAGAGGGAAGGAGAGAGCTGAGGAGGAAGGAAGAGGGGAAAGAGTTGGAGGGAATTAAGGCGCAGTGCCGCAGCGCGCGGGGGCGTCGCGGCCCCGCGTGTCCTCCCAAGAGAAGGAGGCCGAGAAAGAGAGCATGAGAATGATGCTGGTGATGCTGCTGCTGCTGATGGTGGTGGTGATGGTGATGACGACGATGTCGATTACGACAACGAAAACGATGATTATGCTGATGAGCATGGTGATGATGATGCTGATGATGGTGGTGCTGGCAATGGTAATCGTACTGGTACTGGTACTAGTTATGGTAATGGTGATGTTGATGTTGATGACAATGGTAATGCAAATGGCAATGCGATGGCAATGGTAGTAGTAATGGTACAAGTAACAGTAATGGTACTGGTGATGGTGATGGTGATGGTAATGGTAATGGTAATGGTAATGGTAGTGGTAGTGGTAATGGTAATGGTAATGGTAATGGTAATGGTAATGGTAATGGTAATGGTAATGGTAATGGTAATGGTAATGGTAATGGTAATGGTAATGGTAATGGTAATGGTAATGGTAATGGTAATGGTAATGGTAATGGTAATGGTAATGGTAATGGTAATGGTAATGGTAATGGTAATGGTAATGGTAATGGTAATGGTAATGGTAATGGTAATGGTAATGGTAATGGTAATGGTAATGGTAATGGTAATGGTCATGGTCATGGTAATGGTAATGGTAATGGTAATGGTAATGGTAATGGTAATGGTAATGGTAATGGCAATGGTGATGGTAATGGTAATGGCAATGGCAATGGTAATAGCAAAGGTGAATGGTGAATGGTAACTGGTGACGGTAATGGTAAATGGTAAATGGTAAATGGTAAATGGTAAACGTTACATGGTGAACGGTAAATGGTAAATGGTAAAGAGTAAATGGTAAATGGTAAATGGTACATGGAAAATGGTAAATGGTAAATGGTAAATGGTAATGGTAAAGGGAAAATGGTAAATGGTTAATGGTAAATGGTAAATGGTTAATGGTAAATGTTAAATGGTAGGTGGTAAATGGTAAATGGTAAATGGTAAATGGTAATGGTAATGGTAATGGCAATGGCAATGGTACTGGTACTGGTACTGGTACTGGTACTGGTACTGGTACTGGTACTAGTACTGGTAATGGTACTGGTAATGGTAATGGTAATGGTAATGGTGATGGTAATGGTAATGGCAATGCTAATTGTAATGGAAATGGTAATGATAATGGTAATGGTAATGGTAATGGTAATGGCAATGGCAATGGTGATGGTAATGGTAACGGTGATGGTAATGGAAATGGTAATGGTAATGGTGATGGTAATGGAAATGGAAATGGAAATGGTAATGATAATGGTAATGGTAATGGTAATGGTAATGGCAATGGCAATGGCAATGGTAATGGTAATGGTAATGGTAATGGTAATGGTAATGGTAATGGTAATGGTAATGGTAACGGTAATGGTAATGGTAACGATAATGGTAGCGGTAACGGTAATGGTAATGATACTGGTAATGGTGATGTTGAGGGCAATGGTAATGGTAATGGTAATGGTAATGGGAATGGGAATGGTAATGGTAATGGTAATGGTAATGGTAATGGTAATGGTAATGGTAATGGTAATGGTAATGCAAATGGTAATAGCAATGGTAATGGTAATGGTAATGGTGATGGTAATGGTAATGGTAATGGTACTGGTAATGGCAATGGTAATGGTAACGGTAAGGACTATGGGAAGGGGAAATTGTAATGGTAATGGTTAATGGTAATGGTAAATGGCGATGGTAAACTTTAATGATGATGGTACCGGTAAGGGTAATGGGAATGGTAATGGCAATGGAAATATTAATGGTAATGGTAATGGTAGCGGTAACTCTAATGGTAACGGTAAGACGATGTGTGGTGGTAATGACAACGGCAACAGTAGCGATAAGGATAAGGCCACGGTAATGTTAACAGTAATGGTAATGGTGATGGCAGCGGCAACATCAAAGGCAACGGTACTGGTGATGATGATGGAAATGGCAATTTCAATTGTAACGGTAAGTGTAACGGTATTCATACAAGTGATGGTAATGGTACTGGTACTGGTAATGGACTGGCAGTGGTAACGGTAATGGTACTGAACATGGTAATGGAAATGGTAGTCGCATTGGCAAGGGTAATGGCAATGACAATGGGAATACTAATGATAATGGTAACGGTAATGGCACTGGTAATAGCAATGGTAATGCTAATGGTAATGGTAATGGTAACGGTAATGGTAATGGTCGTGGTAATGATAACGGCAATGTTACTGGTAATGGGAATAGTAATGGTCGTGGTAATGGTAACGGTAATGGTAATGGTAATGGTAATGGTTCATGGTAATGGTAATGGTAATGGTAATGGTAATGGTAATGGTAATGGTAATGGTAATGGTAATGGTAATGGTAATGGTAATGGTAATGGTAATGGTAATGGTAATGGTAATGGTAATGGTAATGGTAATGGTGGTAATGGGTAATGGTAATGGTAATGGTAATGGTAATGGTAATGGTAATGGTAATGGTAATGGTAATGGCAATGGTAATGGCAGTGGTAATGGTAATGGTAATGGGAATGGGAATGGGAATGGTAATGGTAATGGTAATGGTAATGGTAATGGTAATGGTAATGGTAATGGTAATGGCAATGGTGATGATCATGGTAATGGTAATGGTAATGGTAATGGTGATGTAATGGTAGTGGCAATGGTAATGGTAATGGTAATGGTAATGGTAATTTTAATGGTAATGGTAATGGTAATGGTAATGGTAATGGTAATGGTAATGGTAATGGTAATGGTAATGGTAATGGTAATGGTGATGGTAATGAAAACGGTAACAATTACGGTAATGATAATGGTTAATGGTAATGGTAATGGTTAATGGTAATGGTAATGGTAACGGTAATGGTATTGAGAATGGTAATGGTAGTGGTAATTGTAATGGTAGTGGTAATGGTAATGGTAATGGTAATGGTAATGGTAATGGTAATGGTAATGGTAATGGTAATGGTAATGGTAATGGTAATGGTAATGGTAAGGGTAAGGGTAATGGTACTGGTAATCGTAATGGTAATGATAATGGCAATGGTAAGGGTAATGGTACCAGTAACTGTAATGATGATGGTGACTGCAATGGTAAATGGTGATGGTAATAGTAATGGTAATGGTAGCAGTAACGGTAACAATAATGGCAATGGCAACGGTAATGGTAATGATAATGGTAATGGTAATGGCAGTGGCATTGATAATAGTGGTAATAATAGCAATGGAAATGGTAATGGTAATTGCTCTGGGAACGGTAATGGTTGGTGGTGATAGTGATTGGTATGGTCATTGTAATGGTAATGGTAATGGTGGTAATGGTAATGGTAATGATAATGGTAATGGTAATGATAATGGTAATGGCAATGGTAATGATAAATGGTTTTGGTAATGGTAATGGGAATGGTGACGGTAACGGTAACAATAAGAATGGCAACCGTAATGGTAATAGCAATGATAAGACACAAATCATGGTCATTGAAATGCTAACACTAACGGAAATGAGAACGGCAATGGTAATGGTAACGGTAATGTTAAATGTGATGGTAATGATAATCATAATGATAATCGTCATGGTTAACGGTAACGGCAATGGTAACGCTAACGGTCACGGTAATGGTAACTCTGATGGTAACGGCAACGGTGACAGTGACGGTCGTGGTAATGGAATGTGCAAGGGCAATGGCAATGCGAATCGTAAGCATGACCGTAATGGTAAGGTAAGGGTAACGGCAATGGCAATGGTAATGGTGCTGGTAATGGTAATGGGAATGACAATGGTTATGGTAATGGTAATGGTATCGGTAATGGAAATGGTAATGGTAGTGGTAATGGTAATGGTCAGGATAATGGTAATGGTCATGGTAGTGGTAATGATAATAGCAATGGTAATGGTAATTGTAATGGTAATTGTAATGGTAATGGTAACGGTAATGGTGATGGTAATTGTAATGGTACTGGTAATGGCACTGGTAACAGTAATGGTGATGACGATGATGACGAGGATGATGGTGGTGGTGGTGATGATCATGTCGTTGATGATGCTGATGATGCTGATGATGATAATTCTGTGGATGGAAACGATGATGGTGATCGCGATGATTCGAATGTTCCTGATGGTGATTAGCAGGATGACGATGACGTCAGTGGTAATGGTGATGGTGATGGTGATGACGACGATGAAGGTTATGAAGATGATGATGACTTCCTTCAGGGCCCCCTGCCCCTCCGAGAACGGGGGGTGGTTCTGCAACGCCCGAGGAGCATCCCTCCACCCCTGGGACCCCACGGGTCCTCCAGGCCGCTCCGCCGCGCCTCCACGAAGGCGTCCTCGAACCGGCCCGCCCTCCGCGCTCGGGGAGGAGGGCGAGGCGCCGCGCCGCCGCCGCGGCGCGCGCGCACGCGCGCGGCGCGGCCACGGCCGCCGCCGACTGCCGACCTACCCGACCACCCCAACCCAACCCGAACACCCGAACTTCGGGTTTGGGGGGGTACGGGTTCCACGAACACCCCCCCACTAGAAATAGGGGGGCAAATCGGGGCCTTCGGGTTGGGTTGGGGTGGTTTGGTGGGCGGTGACTGACCCGCTGGACCCCGACGTCCCCGCGACGCGACAAAAACACGAGGGAGGCTTTTTGGAAATGTTCGCGACCATGAGAATCGTTGAACTGATTCCCATCCCCAGCGGCGTGGCCTGGGCCCCGCTGGCCGATGTACCCCCCTAGATGGGGATATAGGTCGTTCCCTTCACCTTTCGACGGGTGTACCCCCAACTGAGGTGGTAATTTGGTGGGGGTCTCGAAGGGGATGGAGATGGGGATGGGGGTCGGTTGAACGATGCCGAGATCAGTGGCCCAAGATCGGCCCAGCCAAGACGGATGCAAGGCTGACTGCTGCACGCCCTCCGATCGGCGGCGGGCCGACCCGTGCCATGTCGCAAACCCGTGCTGGCCACGTACAGGCAGCTCTCAAACCCAAGCTGGCGGTGGGAAGGGGATTGGCACGGCCGCAGTGGTGGGCCTGTTTTCCACCACCACCACCACCACCATAAGTCGGAGGGGGGAAGTAGGAGGACGAGGAGGAGGAGGAGGAGGACGAAGAGGAGCAGGAGGAGGAAGAGGTGGAGGAGGAGGAGGACCCCATCCCTCCAACTTATGGTGGTGGTGGCGGAAAACAGGCCCATCACGCAATGGGTACGGAAGAAATGGTCACGGCGCCCAATGGCGGAAGTTGCCCACGACCGTCGTCTGTGGAGCCACGTAACGAACAGATCGCGACGTCGTGTGTCTGGAACGTGGGGCGTTCCACTGAGGGATTCGCATGTAGCGCATCCCGCCTTCGGCGGAGGCCCTGGCGGAAGGCGGCGGAAGTGCCGCGGCGGCAGGTCCAACGACGGAAAACCGCGGAAAATCGACGAAAGTAGAAGTGAGGTGGGGTCACCGTCATCATCCCCATCATCCTCATCCTCATGAGATTCCTCATCATCCTCAGCACGGCTCTGTCAAGCATGGAGACACAAGGTGCCACACATGACGGCCTCCTGTGCCCCTCGAACAGCCGCCATCCAGAATGCTGGCATGACACGGTGGCGGGACTCGCTGCAGGCAGCTGGATCGAAGTGAGGAGTCAACTTCTTTCGAGTCAGGGTTCTGGAACTGGGGACCACCCCAGGGCGACGAAATCTGTGCGTATCCACCGCCGCTGGCCAAAACCATCCTCCTAGGCCCAGGATGGACCTGGCAAAGGGCAGCGTATGTGTATATACTTAGATAGATATACTGATATCGAGCTAGGGCAGTTTGGAAAAGGGAGAAGGAGGAGCGGACACGCCAGTCGTGAAGCCACCGCGCTACCTCAAATGGCGCGCGCAAAAGCGGACCTGAAGCGCCCAGCCAAATAGACGGGCTGTCCTTCGAGAGTTGGCGAATATAAACAGACGCTTCCACACCCACAATATGTGGCCAACGACATGAACCATGAACTACAAAACATGCAGTGGCTCTGAACCTGGGTAGAGGGGGACAGAAGGGAGAGGAGGAGGAGGAGGAGGAGGACAAGGAGGAGGAGGAGGAGAAAGAGGCAGGGGAGGCGGGGTAGGGGTTGCGTGCTGGCCAACACGAGCGGACTGAAATCAGCAAGGCGCTGCAGACACTTAGCATGCACTTGCCCCGGACCCAGGTACATTGAGAAAACGGGAGGAGGATGGGCGCGTATGTATTAACAAGTAAACGTTCACAAATACATATACACATTCACCTAACTATATATATACACATACGTATACATACTAGACCCACCGCGCGCGCATCGCGCGCGCTCAGGTTCTCCAGAATCCCGACTCGCAGTGAGATGTCGAGGGTTGGGCGACAATTGTGGATAGGACTTTAGTCCGAAGACGCTACGGGAACACGTAGTAAACAGCCCTTCCCTGCGCACGGAGGTCTCCAGGAGGACGACGAAGAGGACGAGGGGGGCGGTTTGAAGGTCGAGAAAGGCAAGAAGAGTCCAGGATCATGACAGCGACGAAGACGAGGGCAGAACGGCAAGGAGGGACAGGAGCAGAAGGACAAAAGTAGCCTCTGAAGACGAAAAGCACAAAGGAGGACAGAGAGGAGGGGTCACGGTGCCCCTCGTCCACGTGCACACCTCCGAGTGGCCTGCTGCCCATCCTGCCATCGTGCCTGGGCTGATGGTCAGAAACCTCTTGGATGTCTGTTGGGGTCTTTCGAGAAGCCTCTAATTAGGCAACTTCTTGGAGGCAGTTTTGAAGCCCTTCGGGGGGCGTTTGGAGGCCTCTTTGGGCCCCTCTTGGGCCTCTGGGGGCCTTTCGGGTACTCTTGGAGGGGGGTCTTGGGGGCCTGCGGGTGGTCTCCTTGGTCCTCTCGGACTCGAGGCCTCGAAATGTGGGGACAAAGAAGAGAGGCCACCGTGACCCTCGTTCACGGGTGCTCCACCTGGTGGCCTGCGGCCCACCCTGCCACCGTGCCTGGGCTGCTGGTGTGAGACTTCCTGAACGCTTGTTCGGGTCTCTGAGGAAGCCTCTGGGCAGCCTCGTGGTGGCAGTTTTGACGCCTCTTGGGGCCTCTCTTGGGGTTCTTGGGGGCTTTCCCGGTCCTCTTGGGGGGGTTTTTGGGGGCCTGCTGGCGGTCTTCGGGGTTCTCTAGGGGCGAAGGCCTCGAAATGTAGGTTCGAATTCCACTCCCGGGGCCCCTCGTGGGGCCCTCTTGGGAGGTCCTGGGTGCCTCTTGGGCCGTCTGGGGGCCCTCGTGGGCCCTCTTGGAGCCCTCGTGGGCCCTCTGGGGCCGTTTTGAGGCTTTCCTGGAAGCCTCCAGGGCCGTCGTGGACGCTACGCACATGAAAACAGCAAAGCTGCTAGAAATGCGCGCTTCCCTGCATGAATGGGGCGGCTTTTGCCTCTTCGGGCCCTCTTGGGGGCCCTCTTGGAGCCGTCTTGGGGCGTCTTGGCTGCCTCTTGAGCCGTCGTGGCGCCACCTGGGGCATGAATCAAGAGGAAGAGAGCAAGGCAGAGAAGCTTGGCATGCTCCCGCAGTGCTGCGGCCAACGTAATTTAAGTCGGGCTTGTCCCCCTACAGTGGTATCTTGGAAAAATTAAAAATACCCCAAAAATACCCCCAAATCCCCAGACTATTTTGACTATTTTTGAATATCCCTCCTGTAGAGGGACAGGCCCGACTTGAACGTAATGTTCGGACGCTGTGCTGGCCCGCGCGGTTTCTAGGCGGGGGGGGGCCGCCGCCAGCTGCCCGTGCCCAGGACCGGTTGCCCCCCGCGCGCTGGGGACCCTTCCTTGCCCCCCCCCCGCGCGGAAGACAGAGGAGGGCGAACAGGAGGAGGGAGGGAGGGAGGGAAAGGGACGAGGAGGAAAGGACGAGGAGAAAAGGAGGGGGAAGGACGAGGAGAAAAGGACGAGGAGAAAAGGAGGGGGAGGGAGAGGGACGAGGAGGAAAGGAGGGGGAGGGAGGGAGCGAGGAGGGAGGTGCCCGAGGCGCAAAAAGAAGACGCCGCCGACACCGACGCCGACGCCGCCGGGACAGCGACGAAGCCGCCGACGACGACGCCGCCGCCGCGGCGGCAACGGCGGCCGCGGCTCACACGGGGCGCCTCTGCTTGCGCGGCAACGGCGGTACCCTCACGCCGGGGAAATTCGCCACCAGCGCCTGCCGCAGCCCGCCCGGGCCGCCCCTCCTCGGGGGCGTCCAAGAGGGGGGCGTGAAAGAGACGGGGGCGCTCACCGCCTCCCCCTCCTGGTAACGCCCGTGATCGCCAGAGGACATAAACAAATGAGTATTACTGGACCGAAAAGGCATTCTGCCAGCGTGATGCTGGGACTACCTTTCGGGCCTCGCCAGACCCCCCCCCTCGATGCAAGTAGACTTGCCAGAGTCGAAGGGCCTGCCCCGGGGCCCGGCGACTCCTTCCTAAGGACTAGTCGCCCCGCATCGATTCTCGACGGTCCCTGAGCCCGAAAACGAGCCCCAGGAGGACGAAATCGTGAACAGGCATTCGTCTTAATCTCCAAGACGTTGGCGGCCTGGGGAGGTAGGAGTCTTTTGAAGGTCTCTCAGGGTGCTCAACGGGGTCCACGGCGTGCCAGGGGGGTCCTTGGTGGATCTAGGAGGTCATCCGCCTCCCTCCTCCTCACATCATCCTCATAGTCTCCTCCATCCTCATCATCCATCCTCCTCCCTGCTGCATCCTCCTTCCTACCTCATCCTCCCTCGCCATGATCCCTCATCCGTCTTCTCCCATTCCGCCTCCACCTTCTCCCCGGCCCTCATCATACTTCCTCCTCCGTCTCCTCCGCCTCCTCCGCCTCCTCCACCGCCACCTCCTCCTCCTCTTCGACTTCCTCCGTCTTCCCATCTCACCATCACCACCACAATCAGAATCATCGTCATCAGCGTCACCATCAACATCACCATCGACACCACCATCACCATCACCACCACTAACATCATCATCCTCATCCTCATCCTCATCATCAGCATCATCAGCATCATCAGCATCATCATCGTCGTCATCAACAGCAGCAGCAGCATCATCATAATCATCATCATTAGCATCATCATCATCATTCATCATCATCATCATCATCATCATCATCATCATCATCATCATCATCATCATCATCATCATCATCATCATCACAACCACCACCACCATCATCATCATCAGCATCAGCATCATCATAATCAGCATCATCAGCGTCATCGTCATCGTCATCATCATCATCAGCAGCAGTAGCAGCATTATCACCATCGTCGTCGTCATCATCAGCAGAAGCATCATCAGCAGCAGCAGCATTATCAGCAACGTCAACATCATCGCCAGCATCACGACCATCACCATCATTATCATGATCGACAACATCATCAGCATCATCAGCATCACCCGCAGCATCAGCATCATCGGCATCAGCATCATCATCAGCATCATCATGATCATCATCATCATCATCATCATCATCATCATCATCATCATCATCAGCGGCGGCGGCGGCGGAAGCAACACAGCCAGCAGCAGCATCATCATGATCGCCACCACCATCACCATTACCAATACCACCATCACCATTACCACCACCGCCGCCACCATCACCACCATCATCATCATCAGCAGCAGCAGCAGCAGAAGCATCAACATCATCATTCATCATCATCACCCTTCATCACCCTTCATCATCATCAGCAGCAGCAGTATCATCATCATCAGCATCATCATCATCATCATCATCATCATCATCATCATCATCATCATCATCATCGGCATCATCGGCATCAGCATCATCGCTATCGTCGTCATCATCGACACAACCACCACCATCACCGTCACCACCACTACCACCACCACCACCACCATCATCATCAGCAGCAGCATCATCATTATCATCGTCGTCGTCGTCGCCATGAACATCACAATCACCGTCACCACCACAACCACCATCATCATCATCATCACATCCTCCTGCTGATCCTACTGCTGGCGCTGCTGTCCGAATTTCGACCGCCGCACACACCGCTACCGCTACTGTTGCTGCCCGCTGCGCCGAAGAGGGGGCCCGAGGCATGTACGCACACAAGTGGGCGCCAAAAAAACAAGCTGAAAGAGGAAGAGGGTGGCACGAAGTCTAAGAAATCCAAGCATCCACAAGCCTAGACCTCACCCCCTCTTGGCCGCCCCCGATTCTTGGGCAAGTTCCAGGACCTCGGATGTCTTGATCAAAAGAAAATGTTTCAGCCTCTGGGACCCTCCCGGGGCCCCTGGACCGTCAGACAACGACTCAGGATGAGAAGCCGGTCCCTGGAAGGCCGCCACGTTGGGAAAAAAAACAAAATCTGATGTCTAGGATCCAGGTTTCTCAAATTCGAGGAGTAACGAAAAACTTTCGGAGCTCCGCGGGGATCTCTTGGATCGGCGCTGGTTACCCCCTGGAGGCGCATCCCGCGACGACCCTGGCGCAATTGGCGAACCTAGGAGAGGAATCCAGCGCCGACCCAAGAAATCCGCGCGGACCTCCGAAAGTCTACGCGTATGTTCGTTCTTTTCAACAAGAGGACCCAAGCATCTCGACTCCCCCAGGGCCAGCTTTTCACCCCCAGGCCCAGCTTTTCATCCCGAAGCGTCCTCTGACGGTCCTGGGTGCCCGGCGAGGGCCCCCAGAGGCCAGAGACGTGGAGAAACCGACGTACAACTTTCGCTCCTCAATATGGATGGTTCGTGCCGCGACGACCTGCGCATCGGTTTCTGACAAGGTTCGGGCGTTGGCAGAACAGGGTTTAGTGGTGTGTACTGGGGGACGCCCCCCCCCGCCCCGTCACCCGAAAAAACACCAGCTACGGCAGACCTTGTCTAGTGATTCTGGCCAATCTAGGGGCTCCAGGGCCCCACCACTGGCCAGGTCCCCTCACCTGGGGTCCTGGCCATACCCGAAAGGTGCGGATCGTTCAACCTGGAACGATCGTAGCTCTCCGACGGCGCAGATCTTCTGATGTCGCCCGGTCTACGCATGGGCCACCAGGGGCATCAGGTCTGAACCTAAGCGGTGTTTCTCGTCTTCGTTTTGTTTTCGTTTGCACTCGTTTTGTCTTCAATCCGCCTGTACCGTAAAACGAAATCGAAACGAAAACGACCCACGAAATCGCCAAAACACCGTTTAGGTCGCAATGGTATGGGTCACCAGCGGCATTCCACCCCAAGCGACAACGCTGAGGCCGCCGCAGTTTGAAGGGGGCCGGGAGGCCCGACCAGCAGCTTCGCCTTAGGCGAAGCCCAGCTCCTGCTCTGTTGTACCATAGTAACGATAGTCCCAGTCGGAGGAGGTCGTCGCGGGAGCGACGGGCCATCTCAAGCGAAGGATGCTTTCAGTCTCGATGGCAAGTAGTGTGCCTCGCAATGAGGCACAGTCATATGTTGGCGGCCGGCCGCTTGAGCCCAAGCGGCCACGGACAAACGCTCGCTATCTCTCGCCCTTGTCCCAGCTCACTTTAGATTGCCGACACGACCGATACGGCTCGAAGGCCTGCCGCGTGGTGGAGGCCTGGGCCTCTGGGACAGAGAGGCGGAAAGCAGCCCGTTGACTCTTCAGGCCTGCGCCGCATCGAATCGCGAGATCGGACAGGATTTTGAATTCAAAAAAAAGTCTTAGAATTCAAAGACCAGCCTTTTGAATGCAGGAACGGATCGGACCACCAACGACTCGCCCCGAAAAGCGAGTCGCACAGAAGCGGCTCGGGCTGCCCAGCTCTGGTTAGCCCCAGCCGATGCCAGGCGAATCGAACCGAGCCGAAGCGAGTCGAGTAGGAAGCGCGGCCCCAGCCCGCGACTCCGGAGAAACCAAAAGACACCGATACCCGGAGGGTTCCAAAGGGAGTTTGGGGGGAGAGGGTTTTCCAGAGAACCCCCCAGGGGCCTCGAAACCTCCTCAAAACAGGGGGTGCGAAACCTCTGGGGGACGCCTCCTGGAAAACCCCCTCCCCCACAACCCCCTTTGGAGCCCTCCGGGATACCGATGCTTCCCCACACCTCTCCCGGGGTGCAATTTGGCCAGGACTCCGAGACGAAACAAACGGTGGCGGCGGAGCGTTGGAAGGATAGCGGTACCGGTACCTCATGA